ATGGATGGATGATTGGCAGGTTCTCAGTAAAGATATTGGGCCCTGGAGCCTCACTGCCTGGGTCTGAACGCTGGTTCTGTCACTTTTTCTCGCACGGAGGGCAGCAAACTTCACTTTGCTTAACCTCCATCATTTCTGCAAGGGAAGTCCAAGCAGGGCCACGCATGGTGTCTCCACAACCATCCGTGTTTGCTCACTGCAGCATCCTGGGGAGGGGACTCACATTTGGTGAGTACTGACAGGGCACAAGTGCCATCTGTATCCGCCATCCCCAGCCAACTGAGATCCTATCATGAACTAGGATTTGTCTGGGGGTCTGGTTCCCCGACTAGACTGTCGGCTCCATGACGCAAGGGAACATGACTTGGCTGTGGGCTCCAGTGCTTGGCTTAAACCAAATCATCAGTCATCCAAATAGCAACAACAGCAACAATAACAACAGTGATAACATCAGCTACCAGCTAGGTGCATCTCCCAGGGGCCAGCGGAGACGTGGGAGACACTCACGTCTCCCCATGCTTCACCGGGACCCATCCGTGGACGTCCAGTTACCCACTTGCTTCTCCAGGGCCACTCATGAGACCAACCCTGCAAATCTGATCACCACCATCTCCTGCGCTGAGCTTTCTGCTGTTCAAAGACCCCCGGGGCTTTGGCCGGCCGCACCCTCCTGCCCACCCTCTCTTGCTCTGTAAGCCATAAAAACGCGGAGCTGCTGGAGTCCCCAGCACACAGTGCTGGTTCACTCCCTGTGCCTTTGCACGGGCTGACACGGTCTCTCCTCGTCCCCACACGGCAGGTGAGCTCCCAGTCTAACTCAGGTGGTCACTTCCTAGGGCACCCATTTTCTCTGGGACCTGTGTGTATCCCTGCCCGCACAGCTGTCCGCCCTGCAGATGCTGCGCTCCCGAGGCCTGGGAGGGCATCGCTCCCCCCTGCGCCCCAGTGCCTGGCTCTGGGCCCCGCCCCCATAACACTCCAGTGTTTGCTGAAAGGACACTCCAGCTCTTCACTTCACCTCCGATGAACAAACTCTGAAGGCCTGGGCGGCTGCTGGAACGCCTCTGACTTCTAATCTGGCACCTTGCAGGCAGATCTCTTCCCCCTGTTTGTGAATTCCATCTGCTCTTTTAATTAATGAAAATTCAATTCTATGCAAATGTTTCTTCTGGGATCATCCTTCCTGAGCAACCTGTGGGAGCTTACTTGTCAACCTGGTCCCTGAATCCGTGTTTGGAACATTCTGGGAACTTGTTATTGGGCCTTTGAACTGAACAGCTCAAGTGAACGAAATCAGCACGCCTGTCACTTGGCATCAGGAACTGACAGCCTGGGATCTGCAGGGTGTGCCTTTATCGAGAGGGCGCCCCTCAGCCCCATCCTCCCTGCCAACCTCCCGCTGCCTGGCACTGCCAGCCCCTACAGTCTCTGAAAATACATCCGTTTGATAAACCAGTTGTGCCCTCTAAATCCCATAAAAATCTCTCTGGTGCATTAGTTCCTTAATTCTGTACTGAAGCTCCTTGAATTAAAAGGACACCAGAAGCTCTCAATCCTGGGTACAGCTGAGACAATACACTTTTTTATTGTTTGAGAAATATGGCTTTCTGATACAAGAACTAAGTGTTAAAAAGGCAGCTTGGCATAGTGGTAAGATCCTGGACTTTGGACCCAAAAAGACATGGCTTCAAATTCTGCCTCCTTCATGTGCCAGCTGTGTGACCCTAGGGAGGTTAACTAACCTCTCTGAGCCTCAGATAACTCATACATAAAATGAAAGAGATGTAGAAACATCACGTGGATCTTCGCATTTAATCCAACGCAATGACAGATGTGGTAGGGTCTCAATACATGTCGGTTTTCTTCTCCTTTTTGAAGGTGGGACCACTGAGGAGAATGGCCAACTGGGTCACCACTGGCCTGCTTTCCCAGAGGCTAAGAGCCAGGATAGGGCTGCCTCAGACATCAGTGGGAGGCCAGGGCATGACACTGAGGCAGTCTGGGAGAATCTGCAGCACATGGTGGCAAAGCAGGGGCAAAAAGGTCAGGGCTGGGGAACACTGTCTTGAATTTCTCCAGTGGTCCAGACCCTACTTTCCTGGAGATCAGTTTGCTTTTTAGAAACAGCCCAAAGGCAGCTGGAACAAATGCACAGGCTAATGGAGGAAACTGCAAATGGGAGAGCGGCCCCGCCTTCCCTCTGCAGATGATGACTCTTCCTGCCTCCACCTGCCCCTCCTGGCGAGGTGCTCCCGGCTCGGAATCAGTGCTCTCCTCTCCTGTGTCCGCCCTGGGGGCTGCTGTCGCTGCCACGGCCTTGCTGCATCCCTGTGCTGGCAACCTCCCAGTGCACAGACCCGGTCCACATCACCCTCCAGATGCTGGAGTGCACCTGACTACTCTGAAGTTCCTCCAGGCACCTCACATTCAAACGCAGCCCTCCCACCACCCCCGACGCCCGCTGCTCCTGCGGTGTCCCCTACACAGAGAACATCCCTGGGATTCACTCCAGTGCACCACCCAGAAGCCTGGAGGTGACCTTATCCCCTCCTTCACGCCCATTCTCCATCTCCGAGTCCTGCCCATCTGATCTTGTAATCATAAAGCAGTGACCTCCATGGATGGAACTACCCCAACTCTGGATCCTTCTGGATCCTTCTAGAGAGGGGTTTCAGAAAGATCATCAACAGTGAAAGCCTTACTGGGGTCTGTATTCAGCATCCCAAGAGGACTCTCTGAACTGAACAGACCCACTCGTCTGTGCACCCTCTGGTGTTCACACGGACCTGGGCCTTTCTCACCACCAGCGTCAACCTGGGCGGGTCACCCAGCCTCTTTCCCAGCCCGTTTCCTCAACTCTAAAATGAGAGTAAATAATTGTGCCGACTTCATGCTTTATAATTAAATAATAATAAGGATTAAATAAGGTTATGGGTAGAATGCCTGGCATAATGTAAATACTAAAAAGTATTGTTTCTACCATTATTCATTGCCAAACTTCGCTCATGTAACTTAGTAAGTTAAAGATGAATGACACCTTTATGATGCTGTGGAGTCTGGAGAGATGATGACATAGTCTTTGAATCTCCACAATCCACACGTTGAAAACTGGCAGAGCAGATACATGGCTAAACCAAAACCCACGGGTGACACTCACTACAAAACCAAGTCATCCCCCCAAATCCCAAAATATAAGCAGGTGGGGACAAATCAGCAACAGTGACAAGCCCTCCATGGCGGTGATTTCTGTACAGAAGGAAACAGGAAAGACAGGGCAGCATGTGCTGGACCAGAGGACCAAGAACTGCGAGACAGCCAGCGGGCATTAACTGGGAAGCCAGCTGGCCAACCTGAGAACGGCAGCTGGGACCAGGAAGCACGTGCCCAGGCCCACCCCAGGCGAGAGGAAAGGGCCCTTGGTGAGCCCTGCAGGGGCAGGAGAATCTGTGACACAAAATCCCTTCCATCAACCCAGCTGGTGCTTCCTTCTAGGAAAGATCCCCAGGAGAGACTGTTGAGAGTGAAACCAAAATTGAGCAAGACGGGGACCCTACAGGCCAAAGGAAGAGGCGGTCCAGAGAGAAGCGGGCGAGTGGAACCGGGCCAGGAGCTCCCAGGTAGCAAATTGCCTTGGGTTGTGACCCTTCACATAAAGAACAGAAGAGGCAAGTCTGTTAAGTTGGCAAAGCCACCCCGAATGACACCATCTTCCAAAGGTTTAGGAAAACTAATATTGCATGAAAATGAGCAACAGCAAAGTTCCAGGAAAGTATCAAAGATAAAGGAGAAGAAAAGAGCAGAGTAACAGTGTACAATGAAAGTGCATCAGAAAAGACAGTGCGGTGGACTGTTTTGTTAACAGCTCCCCAGTGGATCAGGCCGACTGATATCCATGCCCAGTGCAGTCCCCTCCCACATGGTCCCTGGTCTTCATCATGTGACTTGCTTTGGCCAATTAGACGTCAGGAAAGGTGAAGCAAGCAGAGGCTTGATAAGCTTGTAGGAGCTGGGTTCTCCCTGAAACTTCTGACACCATGTAAGCAAACCCACTGTGGGCCCCTTGAGGATGAAGGACCACACAGAGAGAGGGGCCCGCTCATCACAGCGGTCCTGGCTGGTCCAGCAGCTGCATGCGCAGGCCCAGCCAAACCCAGCAGAAGAACCGCTCTGTCAAGCGGCAGAACTGTGATGAATAATAGATTGCTATTATTCTAAGCCACTAGGTTTTGATTTGGTTTGTTACGTAGCAACTGATAACTCATACGTTAAGAATTAGTAACTAATAGAGACATTAAGAAAATTATGCACGACATGAAAGAATACATACATTGTAATTTAAAAATGTAGAAATATGGCCAGAGAAACAAAGGTAAAATTATTTCAGTAATAAATACTTTGCTAGAAAGCACGCAAAGCAAATAAACACAACAGATAACGCTTTAAAATAAAGAGAAGGAAAAAACTGCGAAAAATTTAAACAGATGAAGAAAGAGATATGGAAGATTTGAAAATGGCAAGTACTGAAGATGGGCAAAGAAGATCCAACATTCAGGTAGTAGGCATCCTTAACAAAGAAAACTACAGTAAGGGGACAGACTGTATGCTAAAAATGACATTTTCATCAAAAGTTCTAAAGAGAAACAACCTGAAACTACACATTGGAGGATCACTGTGTACCTAAGATATAAATCCCAAATGGCCAACACCAACATTACATTCCCACAACACTGTAAGAGTTTAAAGAATAAGGGTTTATTGTTTGTTTGTTTTTTTCCTAAGTTGGAGCCAACTTTTCTGGCTGGGTAGGAGTCCTCTAGAAAACACAGGAGAAGGTCTTCCTGGCAGGGGAGACAGACTGGGTGAAGGTCAAAGGTGTGAGAGAGCATGGTACAGACAGGGCATGGCTGGAACCAGGTGAAGTGGTGAGACTGGGTGAGTGAGGGGTAGGACGATAAAGCAGAAGAGGAATGCTGAGGCCTGAGGGGTCCTGGAACACTCACCCATGTAGGGCTTGGTCCCGGCCATGGAGGAAGCCTTTTCTGCTCCTTTCACGATCGTTGCTATGTTGAAGTCTGTGATGTGAACGTGCCCTGGAGATAGAGCAGAAACAGCAGTTAGCAGAGCTGCAGGCAGATGGGTTACTTTCTTGCCAGATTTAAAGCTGTGGTCTGTGAGGGTGGGTACAGGACGAAAATACCGAAAATACCGCAGCTTCTATTTACACTAGCATGTTATCAGATACTTTGAAAGTATCTATTTTTGGCAGCATCATTCACAGTAGCCAAGCGACAGAGGCAACCTAAATGTCTATCAACAGACGAACAGACAAAGAAAATGTGGTACGTATATACAATGGAGTATTACTCAGCCACGAGAAAGGCCATCCTGCCATCTGGGACAAAGTGGATGGACCCCGAGGGCATTATGCTATGTGAGGTAAGTCAGACAGAGAAAGAGGAAGACTGCATGGTATCACTTCTACGTGGAGTCTGAAAAACCATCAAACTCATAGAAACAGAGAGCAGAAAAGTGGTTGCAGCTGGGGCTGGGGGTGGGGAAGTAGAAAAAGGCTGGTAAAAGGCAACAAACTTCCAGCTCTCAGATGAAGAAGGTTCGAGAAGCTAACGTAAAACATGCTGACTATACTTGATAACACTGTATTGTATCATTAAAATTTGCTAAGACAGTAGAACTTAAATATTCTTACCCTCCAAAAAAATATACATACATATGTCAGATGAAGAATACCTATTTTATGTGCAAATTTTATAATGTAAATTTTTGGTGGTACATGCATGTTATTAATAAACAAATAGACTTACGTTGAGGACATAATAAAATGTTCATTGATTATAGTTTAGAGGCACTGGCCCAGAGATTTAAAAAAGCTTCTGATAAATAAAGACAGGTGAGTCCAGTGAGGGAGGGTATAGCCCAGTGGTGGAGCACGTGCTTAGCCTGCACCAGGTCCCGGGCTCAGTCCCCAGTACCTCCATTATAAATAAGTAAATAAGAACCTAATTCCTCCCGGCCCGCAAAAAAGGCAGGCGAGTCCAGAATCCCTGTCTTAGGGAAACACTGGGTTGGGGGAGGGGCATGAAGAGAGGGTTCTCATGCTCTGAGGACATCCTTGTTCTGTGGTCTGTCTGCTCTTCAGTGGGGGCCATAGTTCTGTCTCTGATAAACTGAGTGGTAAGTGGGCTTAGAGGTTGAGACCCATCTTTCACCCAGCCTAAAGTAATGGCTGCAGATGAGACATGGATAGACTGAGTGTACCTGTAACAGGTGCTCAAACAACCTGAGAGGGAAGGAAGAGGGACAGAGAAGAAGGAAGGAGACAAGGAGATGTGAGGGTAAAAAGAAAAAGTGACACAGGAGGGTGAGAGGTGGGGGCGGGGTGAATCCCAAATGGGCGGTACTGGCTCTCTGGGGGAACTTATTTGATATAAAGAGAGCTCTGTCCATCAACAGATGAATGGATAAAGAAGGTGTGGAATATACATATACATATACATATATATAATGGAATACTATTCTGCCATAAAAAAGAATGAAATGTTGTCACTTGCAGCAACACGGATGGACTTGGAGGGCATTATGCTCAGTGAAAACAAGTCAGAAAGAGAAAACAAATACTGTATGATGTCACTTGTATGTGGAATCGAAAAAATACAACAAACTGGTGAATAAAACAAAAAAGCAGCAGACCAGATACAGAGAACAAACTAGGGGTTACCAGTGGGGAAAGGGAAGGTGAATGATACAGGGGATTTTTTTAAAAAGGTTATTACAGGATTACATGAAATCATGTGTGTGTAACTTGAAAATTGTGAAGTACTATAGAATTAAAAAAATAAACAAAACAAAATAAAATAAAACCAGCTCTCTGAGACCGCTGAATACCTGATATACATGCATTCACATTTCTTTCTGTTTGTCATCACATCATGTGAAAATGGTTGGATTTTCATCATATCTGAGAGCTGTGTTTGGGATGGTAGGACTTAAATACATAGAGGGGTGGCATATACAAAACTGGAACATTGGGAGGCCCTGGAGGGCACCTCCAAGAGATGGACAGACCGCCGCTGGAGCAGGTGTAATGAGGCTGTCTGAGAGTCTCCCGGGAGAGGCTGCCTGATGTGATCAGTCACAGTGGACAGAAAAAGCACCAGCAGTTTCACGTGCAAATCTCAAATCTCAGGCTCAGCTGCCAGCACTAATGTGTGAGCGACCTGCTCTGCCAGGCGCTCTGTCCAGTGCCCCCAGGTGAGATGCAGCAGGAGGTACTCAGTGATGATTTGCAGAACCTTTTAGGTACTTGCAGATAAAGCTTATGTCATTGAGCCAGGACTTTGTTGGGAACTCTTTCTGGCTAGACACACAATGTCCCCACCCAGGTAGCATCCCTACAAACACCCAGCCTGCTCTGGCCCCTGGGGCTGGGCTGAGCATCCCTCCCACTCAGGAACCCGTGGTCCTGTCCGCAGAGAGGCAGTGCAGCGCAGTAGCTGGGTACACAGACGCTGAGTCACACTGCCTTGGTCTGGGTCTCAGCTTTGTCATGACCAGTTATGTGACCTTGGGCAAATAACTTAATCTCTTTGGGCTTTGGGTTTCTCATCTGTAAAATGGGGATGATGACATAGCAAAATGCCCAACTCAGAGGGCTGTTGGGGAGTTAACACACCTGAAATGGTTAGAGCATATCAAAACACAGGCATTAAGAGGATTTCTTACAAGCATTTGCTCTTAGCAGTACTGTCTTGCCAAGGTGTGCTTCCGATCTCATTTTCTTCAGCCAGGGCCAACCCACCCCTTCACCCTCTCATTTCCTCATTTCTTCGTCTCCTTTTTTATTTTTCAAATTGACGTAGTCAGTAACAATGTGTCAATTTCTGGTATACAGCAGTGTCCCATTCATATATATACACATATTTGTTTTCATGTTCTTTTTCATTAAAGGTTATTATAAGATATCGAATATAGTTCCCTGTGCTATACAGAAGAAATTTGTTTTTTATCTATTTTTATATCTGGTGGTTTTAATAGGGGGAGAAATGACAGAAAACCAAATAAATGCCACATTCGAAGATTGCAGAACCCACTCCCAGTGGTGCTCCTGTGTTTGGGAACGTACAGGTGTGGGGTGCAGATGTGACTCAGATGTCCACCTACTCTCACATACATCACAGTCTGAAACAAGACTGCGAATTTATTGGAATGTGGTGTTTACTTGGTTTTTATCATTTCTCCCCCTCTTATAATTTTTAAAAATATTTGCAGTATGAAAGTAATGCCAGCTCATTACAAGTCACAGAATCTAAGTATGTTTGAATCTGTCCTTTCAACTCCCCAGCGTCTCCTCTCCTCGCCATATACACTCACTGATCCACTCAATCCTCCGTTATTTCTCCCTTTGCTTATGCAAACATACGTCCACATATGCTGGGACTCTGGTTTGTTCTTACAGTAAAGAGATTATATTCCATGGGTTATTCTAAAAGTTACTTTTGCATTTAACCGTTTATCAAGGATATATTTCCAAATCAAGATACATAGGTCTACCTATGAGACCCACAATCCCTTATCCTGCATTCTAAATCCAATTTTCTTCTGTTGTCATTCGCTTGGTGATAAACCTGACCGAGAACTTCTCTTCATAGCTCTGTTGGTTCTTAGGGTGAATATTCATCTTCTGCTATAGAAATATTTATATATTTGATTACAAGATGTTCCCTAAGCCTTGATACATGGTATACAGTATATATTACATTATACATGGTATACATTATTTAAAATATTATTATATATTATATATTAGACACTTTATTTTCAGATTATGATGATATAGTATTTAATGTAAGTATATTTTCAAATCTGAAAACTTCTGAGTGGTGAAAGCATATCTGGCCCCAAGAGTTTCAGGTAAGAAACTGTGGCCCTGTACTCGCCAGTGTTGCACAGGGCGACTGTATCATATTTTATTCAACAATTCTCCTATTACAGTGCTCAGGCTGTTTCCAGCTTTGTTTGCTTGCTTGTCTTGTTCTTATAAAATATGCAGCAATAGCATTCTTGAACATATCTTTATATACTGGTACTTTTATTTCCTGGATAAATTCCCAGAGGAGGGAGTGACAGATCAAAGTGTATGTATTTTATGTTTCTAAAAGTGATTATTGATGGTGCTGTAAACAGAATGTAAGAGGGTTCTCTGCACTTTTACCAACACTATCAATAATTTTACTTGTTGATTGTTAGCTGATGGTAAGAAATGGTATCTCAGTGCTGATGAGGCCGCACAGTTTTCATGTGACCAGTATCCCTGTGAACTGTCTAGAATCCTGGTCAGTTTTCAATCAGAGCTCCTTGTCTATTCAGTACATTTGCCCTGTTCTCTGCTCCATCTCTGACAGATGCAGTCTCCTAGCTTACTGTCTGTTCTCTGACTTTGTCTGTAGGATCTCTCCCATACGAAAGTTTAAAAAATTCAAACAATATATTATGTTCATAGTTCCCAAGTATTATTTTTCTTAAAACTTTCCAGTTTCCAGAAACCTATTTCACCTCCAAGATTTTACATATTCTTCGATATTTTCTTCTAATATGTATATAATTTGTCTTTTATACTTAAATCTTTCAATCATATTTTTATATACGGTATGATAGAGCATTCTGATTTTATTTCTTCCAAAAAGATAGCCATTTGTCTCAACATTTATTGGAAAAGTCATCCTTTCTCAATAACTGTGATGTGATTTTCACTTTACATGAAGTCACACGTACATGTGGATCTGTTTATAGAGTGTCTCTTCTGTTCCATTGCCCTATGATTTATTGCTGGACCAGAACTATATTCATTTCACTTAATAGATGTGTAGTCCATTATAATATTTGATGATAGTTTTTTTTCCAGTGTTTTCTTTGTGACTCTCAGATATTTATTCGTTGGAGATGAATTCTGTCCAGCTTTAGGAAATACTTCCATTAAGATTCTGATAGGAATTAACATTGTTACGCATCTGTGTGGGAAGTGTGGACATGTAATCCACCCAGGGTCATGCTCTGCCTTTCATTTAATCCTTGC